ACAATTTGGTCAACCAACAATACTTGTTGAAGAACTTCTTTTGTTTCCCTTACTCTAGCCCTTATTATAGGTCATGTTCACATCATGTTAGAACCTTTCTCGAGGGTGGGATAAGGTCGGTGTTGAGGACCTCCTCCAGCACTTTGGTACGGTCAATGTTCAGAGGTGTATATTGAGAGAAACGCGGTCTGCGGGCCTCTCTTGGTCTATTTTGGGTGTGTCTGTTTCCCTATTCTTTCTCCGTGTTCTTGATTTCCGAACCAGATCCAGCCCGCATTTGACTTCTAAACTCTTTCAATTCTTCCAGTTGCATGAACTTTGCAGCTCGCCTCCTCAGTATGACCAGGTTGGTGGCTGGTTTTTTGCACTAACTGTTCGAGAAGGGCCTCAGTTGCAATGTTGTTACCATGTGATGCAGAGCCACCTTGGGGTTGAGATTTCGGATATTCAAGGAGACTTTGCCAAACCTTTCCATGAAGGCCCATAATGACTCTCCTTTGTCCTGCCAGATATTTACCAACACAATTAATGTGAGGTGATGAGGCCGACTGGTGGCGAACTAGGTGCCAAACTTTGTCGCCAATGTATCGAAGCAATCTATGGTGTTTGGTGTAAGTCTTGTGAACCAATTGAGTGTTGCTCCTTTTAGCGAGGTTGGGAATACTCTACAAAGAATTGCGTCCTCTGTGGTGTACAAACCGACTTGCGTCACGTAGATGTCGACATGTTCATCTAGGTCGGTCAACCCATTGTATCTTTCCAACATCAAATTCTTCCATGTTGTAGGCAGGGGAGTTTTCATGATTCCATCAACGAACGGATGTCTGAGTCGTCTCTCGATTTGTGGTGAGAGGTGCATGGATGTACGAGAGGTGACCTTCGGATTGCTCCCAGCCTCGAACACTCTCATTGGAGTGTGGCGGGAGTGTTCGTCGTTCCCCTCGATTTGAGATGCTCCTTGCACATGATTGGAGGTGCCTTCTTGCTTGTTCAATCTTTATCGGATTTGCATGTTTTCATGCCTCAGGGCTTCGACTTCTTCTGCGCTTTTCTTTTTGAAATTTTCTAGTTCCTTTCTTAGTTCGACTATAAGCAAGAGCTCATTCACATGTTTTTCTCTTCCGTGGAAATGGGATCTCACTCCCGATCTTGTTCCTTGTAGTCACCATTTGGTTTTTTAGAGAGCTTCTTGGCCCCACGGTGGACGTCAAAATATTCTTATAAGGTTGAAAGCCTCCCGCAAGACCAATCTCCACTAGTGCGCTCTGGTTGCAGCTCGAGGTGGGCTCCTAGTTGCCGACCTTGAGATAGCCGAAGATGTGGCCTATGTACCTGTAGAAGGCACACTGATGCTCAAGTCAGTAATCAATAATATGAGACTAGTATTGTTTGTTAGGTACCTTTTTTTATTGAGACTCCATATTTTATTTATACTTGTGCTTGAGTCTTGTTGAATGGTTTGTTACTCCTAGGCTTCGCCTAGGTGTTTCTAGCTATCATTTTGGGAAGCTTAATTATTTAGCTACAATGGAGCATGCCTACCATAGTGGGCATGCCTGTCGGGGCTTTGGAGGTCGAGTGAGCATAGTACACGTGTGTTGGGTAATCCAAGTGTGATTCTATTTTCCACGTTGAATAAAAGAATGGGATAGTTGAGCAACATATAAGTATGACCCGTAATCTAATGGCTTAAGATTTTTTATTGAGAGTGGTTTAAATCCCTTATGTGAGTGAGTTGGGCTCATGTCTCATTACTGTTGTTTCTCTCCTGTGAATTCTCCCTCGAAAGATCTAACAAGTGGTATCAGAATCGAAGATTGATCGGCAGTTTAAAAGTGGTCTTTACATCGAAAGTTTTTCTGACAGCGTGGGTCAGGTAAGCGTGTTCCGTTACAGTGAACAATAGTACATGGAAGGGTCACTAGTGAGCTCGAGGGGATGTACCAATGTGGAGGAATTCACACTTGAGGGAGAGATTGTTAGGATTTCAAGTGTAAGTCTAAGTCTCACATTGAGTAAGAAAAAGAAAGTTGAATAACATATAATGAAGAAAGACCCATAACCTAATGTCTTAAGGTTTTTGGTTGAGAGTGGTGTCAATACCTTATGTGGGTTGGGCTCATATTTCATTGATGGTGTCTCTTCCTAGTAAATCTCCCTCGAAAGACCCAACAAGAATGTGGTAACCGAAAGTTTGAGAGTGGTCATTGTATCGAAAGTCTTCCTGACAATAGGTCAGGTAAACGTGTTCCGTTATAATAAACGACGATACAAGGAAAGACCACTAGTGAGCTCGAGGGGATGTACTAATGTGGAGAAATTTATACTTGAGGGGAAGATTATTGGGTAATCCAAGTATGATTCTAAGTCTCACATTCAGTAAGAATGAGATAGTTGAATAACATATAAGGAAGTATGACCCATAATCTAATGTCTTAAGATTTTGTTTAAGAGTGGTGTCAATTTCTTATGTGAGTGAGTTGAACTCATGTCTCATTATTGTTGTTTTTCTCCTATGAATCCTCCATCGAAAAACCTAATAATGTAGACACAGCTGTGAGGCTATGGTAGACATGTTTGTCACGACTTTGGAGTCGAATGAAAAAAGTACGTGATCATTGTGTCTTGCTGATTGGTAACTACATTACAAAAGTGTTTAAGAATAACTCAATCCTATAACTTGTAAGATGAACACCTCACTAATATATTATGCTTAAGTCTGACTAATATTGCTCAAAATTAATTGAGCCCAAAACTTGCTGCCTAATACCATATTTAATCAGTCTAATTTGTTGTCCCATTTACCAACATGTTCTTGTAACTACCACGGATTAACTTGTGAAGCAGTAAGCAATAAGCATTAAGATATGGTGTTGAATGAAAATCTCTTCTCCTTTTTTTTCTTGCAGCAAGGGCAGCCCCATATGCAAAAGCAAGGACCCATTTTTCACGTGATATTCAGATGACAAGGCATCATAATAATTATGGCAAAACCTCAACCGCAGCTGAGAATGGACCCATTTTACTTTCATGATGACATCTCATCATTTTTATACCTTACACGACTCTGTCTTGGTAGTATTCCTCTCCTTCCTTCTATTAAGTGCTTATTATTTTTTTGTAGATTAATATAGATGAATGGCAGTGCAATCTGCTCGATCTTCCGATGCTGCTTTGTTCTCCATACCGTGATTACTCCAAATACGTAGTTTCTTGAGACATTCAACACCTTACAAGCAGAACTCCAGAAAACTGTAAATCATATATTTTTGTTTATTATCCTGTTTACTTCTGTTTTTGTTCAAATAGAACAGAACTATATTCTATATTCTGTGTCAAATTTTTATTAAAATTAGAAAAAAAAAATATTTAAATGATTCATATTTTTCAAATTTAAAAGTATATACTACGTCATTTTTTGCATATACAGTCAATATATTAAATAATTTGGATTAATATGTTAAATTTGTAGCTATTATGTATGAGATTTTTTTTATCCAACTACGAATTTTGAGATTAGGTTATTTCTAGGTTGTTGCTTTAATCCCTTCTCACATAATCCTACTATGATTTTTTAAGATAAAATCATTTTATTAAAAGTTATTCATGATAAAATAATTTATGTAGTTTTATTTTATTTCATTTTATTTTTGTTATAATGGATGCAGTTTATATCAATGTAATATATATGGAAAGCGAGCACATTAAGTGGGATGGCTTGTGGGACTTGAAAATATTCTTCCGTTTGCTAACAATTCAAAATAAAAAATAATTAAATTAATTCAAATTTTTAACTTAATTGAGTTCAACATGACCAAATCAATCATAATTACCGAATTAATAATACGATTTTTTATATTATTAATTAACTATTATGCATGAAGTTCTATTGTATAATAATAAAGTTCTATTTGTATAGAATTGGAAACTTAATCAAGTTGGTTTGATTTGAGTTGTGCAGGAAAAGAGAGAGAGAGAGAGAGAAATTTGAATCCAAAGTAGACGAAATTTAATTGGTTGTGCATAAATTGACTTGTAGAAACATGTAATTAGGAGTATGAAGAATGAAATTAGATTATTATGTCAAATTATGAAAGATTAAAACTAAAAATAAAATCATATTACTTTTTTAAATAGTGGTGTGATAATCAAATGACATTTAGCTGACCATTCATATATCGTTGTATGATTGGGTTTACTCCTTCACCCTATAAGCATTTTTCTTCGTGAACTACATGTGTTAGGGATGTGTCTATTGAAAATGAGAACAACAGATATTAATCGTTAAATTTCATAGCAAAATAATATTTATACATAAGTTATGTGAATTTTTTTAAAGTCGCATGAATCTTTATAAATTATCATGTGATTTTAAATCTTGATCATCTACATGACTTAGAAAATTATTTTATATATATAGAAAGCTATGCTAAAAGTAACTTTGATAAGATTACTCTATTTAATAACATTGTGAGTAAATAGATCACATTTAAAAGTAATTTTTAATTATCAACTTAATAAGACTTTGTAAGATACATATATAATGATATATATATATATATATATATATATATATATAACTTTTAATGTTACATGATATCATATCGATAATCACATAAATTAGACACTTATAATCTGGGAATGTTAGTCAATCTTATTTTTGTTATCGCTTATATTTTAAAAAAGTACATGTTAAATCTACCAAAGTAATCTAACTCTCCACATATATCTAAATTATTGACATCAACCAAAGTAAAGATTTTGGACACATAAAATGATGAATTATATGCTCTCCATTAATATTTAGCAAGATTCAATGCGCCATGACAAGAGGACAAGATTTATAGACGCTGGAAATAAGCTAAGCTTGAGTTGCTCTTAAGGAGTTTCTATGTGAAATTGTATCTTGATGAGGTATAATATATTTTCTAACTGCACACTAAAAGTACATATAATTTTGCTGGCTAAAATACTTCAAATTCATGAAAAAGAAAAACTTGCTAAGCGTTTTCTGTGTCACTTGAGCCAGCCTGAGAATCCGCCTGAGAATCACCTTGAGATCCTTGTGAACCAGCTTGTGCATCCAAATTTAATTCTAACTCCTCTTCAATATTGTCAACTATGGTCCACCTGTTAGATGCATCAACTGTAATTAAGCTTTGGCTTAGCTTGCCATGATCAAATTCAAAACCATATTTTAACACCATACCTCTCAAGCACAAACTTCCCTTCTTTGTATGTCTCATTCTTTTCATATGCCAGAACCTGAATGAATCCAAAAACTCATTATTACCACTACAAACTGCTTTCAGCGCATAAAAAACGTCATGCTATGCTGAGATACACGCTGAGGAGAGCAAATTAGATTGACGCAGAAACACATGGAAAGACCTGACCATGTGCATGATGTTACCATGGGTGATTTGATAGATAGTCCTTCTAAATGAATCCACAAGTCACATCTTTTCTTGATTTCTCATTTAATTTAATTTCAAACAGGATTACATGAAACAAATACATTGCTTAAAGGGAAAGCATCAATTTCAACCACCTTCTCGAGGGATTGTTAAATTACAGTTAAAAGATAATGAAGTCCCTAAATGAAGCTTACCCTTTTCATGATAGATCATACATGGATTATATGCACAATAGATTGGGAAAATAGAAATTTCTCATCTGATTGTTCTTTTATGAGCAATAAAATTTATTAGAAATTTGAAAAACAGTAAATTCAAGTGTTTAAAATGGTTTCTGGATAAGATTGATCATACTCATGGTGTTAAAGGCATACAAAAGCATCGGATTATAAATTTCTGATGTGTTCACATATTTAACCAACTTCATTGCTAGAGTTAACTTTCAAGACTCACCCAACCACAAATTATTGATGTTCAGAAAACCCTCAAGGATGACAAGAAAGGAAAGTATAGATGCAAAGGTAAAACTCACATATTTCCATCCAAGAAGTTGTCCACAACTGCAACAAAATATGTCTTCAACTGTGTGTAGTCCAGATATCATCATTCTCTCAACCGGAGGCCCAAGAGTTATATTCACACTATTTGAGGCCAAAAGTTACAAACAAGGATGTTAGAAATAGTTAGTAACAAAGGTTCAAGATAAGCTGTTGATATGTAAAAAGAAAAGGTGCTAATTATGTGAGTCAGAACAATCATAATTATTTTAATATCAATGATAAAATCATAATGCTTCATTCTAATTCCCCAAACCAACAGAGAAATAGATGCCTTTATTTGGGGGTAGGACCCTAGGGTTGGGGACACCCGGTAGGATGGGACAAATTACTAAAAAAATATTGAAGTAAGATTCAAAAGGGACAGAAGAGGGGACAGGGAATAGAAACAAACGATTTCTGACAACTTACACTTTGCTGAAAAGGTATGCTCTCCCTTGGCTGCAGTTGAAGTTCTGATCATCACAGGAAAACAAACTATAGTCAAATTGCTAGGGTAGATGGAAAGAATAGTATACAAAGAATAAGGTACATTTGCAACAGTATAATATATAGCAGCAATCTGACAGTAGAACTTATGATTTTGGATAATTATAATTTTCTATACTATTATTACAATATGTACCAAGATAAAGTTAGTTAACATCCTCGTTAAAAGCAAACAAATTATATTACAAGATTTATATGGAAGAAGACTAAACATACCAAAAGTATCTAGATATGAAATAATTCACTTTTCTTTTAGAAAGAACAAAAATTCGCAGATATTGGGTTATTGTCCACTCTTTACAGTTAAGCTCGCGGTAAAAGGCAAGTTTAAAATGCTTTGCTTCTATCATTGCAAAAAAAAAAAAAAAAAACATAGCAAAATTTAAACTGTGTATCCTCTATAGCCACACAAAACAAAAATAAAATAAACTAAATTCTACCCCCAACATTATCTCACTTGTAAAAGTTCAGTTGAAAATATTAGCAGAGCCTCGTTTTAAAGGAGAGCTCCCTACCTTACCCACAATGGAAGTGGATTAGTAGGGGTGTGCAAAAAATTCAAATAATTAAACTCAATCCATATTCACACATCTGAATCACTTTAAGTTCATTTTAACGGATTGGTTTCATATCCAAATCCATTCTTTTGGAATTTAAATCCAATCCAATTAATCAGATATAGATTGGATATTTGTTTGGATTTTAAAAAATCCAAAATCAATTTCTATTCTCAAACATTGTTTGTTCAAGGCATCTTTCCATTGGTCTCAACTGGAAAATTTTTTACTTGATCTTTGTAAGGGAAGCTTTTGTTGGTCTCAAGAGTTTTCAGCAATGTTTTTGTTGGTCTTGGTTGAAACATCATTAGTTCATCCTTGATCAGAACATCCTCAAATAATCCTCAATCGGTTCATCATCGGCTCAATCTTCGCTAGATGATCAGTCATTCTCAACTCGATCTCAACCAGGCATTGTCAGGTCAACCAAGGCTAAGGCTTTGTTGGGACAACCTTAATCACAGAATCTTTGGTGCAAGCATGTGAAGGATGTTTAGTCAAAGAATCCTTGGCTGACCTCAACCAGAGCATCTTGCAGTCAGTCATCTCTTAGTTAGTTTCGATCAAAACATCTTTCAATCTAACTTGATTGAATCACCTCTTAAACCATTTCAACAAATCTAAACTAACTTTATCCAACTAAAATCCATTTAATTGGATTTGGATTGAATATGAATCTGATTTTTTAAAAATTCAATTCATGCCCACCCCATGTGCAAAACAGAATGGCGAGCAATCAAATGCAGTCTTACATTTCACACTAGCAACTTTTACAGTAGATTGAGTGTTGACAGAAAAAAAAGGAAAAATAACTCCTATTTGGAGTCACTTCGTTGGTGTGTTGCATTGAGGTAATTGAAAAAAAATAAAAATAAAAAGAAATAATAATAATAATAATAACTCCCTGTCTCAATGTACATCCTTCAACAGGGCAAAGGCAGGCTCTACGCAAAGGGATTTGTCATAATAGAAAAGTGTACACAATTCACTTGTTCCTTTCATAATTTTCCAAATTCATGGACTCCCTCTCATTAGACGAGTTTGCAGTGGAGATGTGAAATAAAACATGATCTACCTCGATTTCTAAAAATTTCCCCAAAAGTAAACTTTTTATTTTTTCACTATTTATTCCTTTTCCAAAAAAACCATTTATGAACCTATGAAAAAGTTCAGCTCTTTCATCATTACCTACCTGAACCAAAGGTAGCTCAACATATGGTTCTTTACAAATTAAAATTAACTAATAAGGTTACTGCTCCCCTGCAGAATTTTCAACAAACAGTTAACTACTCCATACCAAAACCATCAATTGATTGATTGTAGTTATGAAAATAAACACTTGTATCAATTTCAAACCTAGTATAATCTCATATACCATTTAGACATTTCCAAACTGCAAACACCAGCACCATGCACTACATGCTTGCCACAATTGACAAGCTAAAATCATCAGTCTCCAGATATCAATTCCATGTTTCCAGAAAATAATTGCAACCCAATAACTTCCAATCAATAATAAACCAAAAAGTACAGACTTTCTACAGGATTATCCAATGGGTCCTTCCTGTTTCTGATTGATTTTTAAAAGAAGTGGCCAAAATCCAATCTTTCACCTATCGAATTCATCACTCCAGACAGAGTTCGTGCCAGAAACAAACACCAACAACAGAAAAAAAGCTGTTTTCTTTTACAAGTATTCAAATTTAAAAATAAAATAAGAGGACCAAAAAGAAAATGAATTTGAAGAGATGAGGGAGAAGCATACCCGAGAGAGAATGTTATGAGGGAGAGCAAGAGGGGTATTGCAGTATCTGCATCCGTAGAATCTGCCATCCAAATCAATAACGAAAACCCTCCCCATGTGAATCCCACTCTTTCATAAACCCACACAACACAAACCACCACCACCAACAACCTATGGAGAACACAACTACCTCAAACACCACACGCGAAATCCCAAAATGTCTGTTATGAGCTCCAACATATATATATATATATATATATATATATATATATATATATATATATATATCTCCTTCCCCACCCCCTATTTTTTTTTTCCTTGAAATAGTTCTTAAATGCTAATTTATTAAAAAATCATGTATTAAAAATAATTTTTCTCAAGTATAGTAATTTACTTTTATTTAGTTTAATGATATTTTTTAAAACGAGGTTTGACTTTTGTTAATATTTGACATTCAATTACACTATCAAAATATTTAATTTTTATTTTACAAAAAAAAAACAAATACTAAAATATTAATAAAATTTAATACCGTTAATTATTTTTAATATTTATGAAATTAGTTTTATCTTATAAATAATAATAATAATAATAATAATAATAATAATAATAATAATAATAATAGCAATTTAATATTTTAACTTAGGAGAAATATGCTGGACAGGAAGAGAGTCACCTAATTACTTATTTCAATTCAAAAAATAAAAACAAAAAACAAATTTGTGTCAATTAATTGACGGATTTAGTGAAGTTCAATTAAATTTTTAATAATAGCAGCAAATAATTTTGGTAAGGTTTATTAATTAGATAATCAAAATAAACCATGCATAAGGATAAGGATCATTCAAGAATGTCTTTAATCTAAGAATAAATTATTTATAATTATTATGTACAAATATATTATTATATAATATAAGTAAAAATTTATTAAACTAAGATTATTTATTTACATATAAAATATTTATTTTATAATAAACATATATAGATTATTAGAATCATATTTCAATATATTTTTATTAAGATAATAAATTAAACATTTTTTGCAATTTTTTATATTTTATTTTAAATTCAAAGATTTATAGTTTTATGACATGGTTGTAATCTACTAACAAACATATTTATATTTGTTTGAGTATTAATTTGGTCGTTTAAGTCACTAATAAATATAACTAATTTTCACTCATTTTTTAATTTTATTTAAGTGAAATATCTACTCAGAAAAAAAAATCTTTTTAACAAGATTTTTCACTTACATATTCACTTATTATTTTAATAAAATCCTTGTCGAAAATAGTCTCATTGATTTGCATGCATCTTATTTAAACACCTTATATGTATGAGTGAAATACTTATAAATTAATTTTATTTCTTTTAATATTTAATAACATTTGAAAGAATAATGATTGATTTATGACTTGAGCATTCAACTTTCAATTGTACCTTCCGAGTCGAAACAATGAATGCAAGAAAGAAAAATAAGATTCAATCTTAATTAATCAATAAAATTTCAATCATACATACATCATATCATATAATTATACAAATAAAATGTCATAATACCATGTTATGCTACCATATTTTTACCAGTCTAAACATCTAATTCAATATTCTAATAAAATATAATTCTCTTAACTAATTTATCATACTATCTAACCATTTTTATTTAGACTTAATATTTGTTTACTCTTTTTCAAAATCTCAATTGCAATTTTATATAACTAATATATTTTAAATTATTTATTGATTCTCTTTAAGTTTAAACGTTTATTAAAAATTATAAAAAATAAGATAAAATTATTCGAAACTCACTCATAATTTATGATATTCTTTTATAAATTTGAACATAATCAACATTTATAATATAAGGATAACATAAATAATTTAAATTTTGAAGAAATAAAAGATTTGAAATTATAAAATATTTATTATCTAACTCTTTATTTATAGATTTTATAATTAACAAAATATATTATATTTTTCATAAAATTGTTATTGGTAAAAATATTTTACTATAACGTAATTAAAATATGCTTTTCACAATTAATTTTCACAGTCCAAATATAAATCATTTATTTTATATAATTATATATTATTTTAGCAAAATATTTTTTTTAATTTAAACACATTTTGTATTATATTTATCTTTTAGACACTAACTATTAAATACAATTAAATTTTATTGCAATGTTATCTTATCTTTTGAAAAGTATTATCTTATTTATGTGTAAAAAAATATATTTTAAGTTTCGATAAGAAACTATTTTAATCGCTTTAAAGAATAAAAATGAAAATATTTTTTAAAAAATTTAAGTTATATTAATATGATTAATGTTAATTTTAAATACAATTATATTTTATCTAAATTATAACATATTTATATAGTTTAACAAAATATAATTATTTTATTTTTTTAAATATAATTTTTTATTTTATAAAACAAATTAATTTATAAATATTTGAATCCAGTTTAATCTAAACCTATTCAAATTATGAGACTAAATCAATTAAGCAAACAATAATCTGATTTATTTAAAAATAATAATTTAATCTTACTTATTTTAAGACTTTTTTTAATCGGTTTGGGTCAAGTTCCATTTTACTAACATAGATATTTTGGTAAAATTTTGATAAACTCAATCCAACCACATTATAAATATTTAATTTATTTAATAAATAATTATGTTAATGATGATATATAAAATAAGTATAAATATAAGGGAAATATATCTATTGTTTTTACATTAATCAATATAATGTGATCTTAATATTGAGTATTTATCTTGAAGTCTATCACATTATGTTTTTATTGTTAGGAGATTGAGGGTACCAGACATTTCAACATTTAAGATAGTGACAAAATGAGATGTAAGCAGAGGTTTTATGATGGAATCAAGAATTATCCTACCTTCCTGATACTTTGTAGTATTTATAGGATCATGACTGGATGGTATAACCTTGGGTTTCCCGAGGTGAGACTATGTTGAGAGGACATATGCCCCCCGAAGCTCGAGTCGAACAACATCAAACATTAGGATATGTCGTTACATGTCTGAATTATGATGTGGAGGCGAAGAGCTTGCCCTTTGACCTATCGAATCACCATGGTTTAAGTTTCATCTGAGATGTACTCGATTACTTCGAAGGGGAATGAGGACCGAGTAAAAGGGTGGAAATTTTTTCAAAATTCTTGCGCTCAAACATGTTCAATGGATCTCAACCATTGATCTGAATAAGATCAAATGGTTGTGGGGGAGGGTGTCTCATTTTGTGTGCTCCCTCTTATATAATGGGATGGTATAGGGGCATTTCTCATGTTATATTGCTTTGTGTCATATTGCTCCATAAAGTGATCCAACTTTTCTATCTGTTTCCTCTCTTGTGTGTTTACCAGTTCTCAGTCTCTTTGCTCTCATGTAATTATGACTTACTCCTTCTTCTTTTCTTCCTTTGGCTCTGGGAAGTCTTTGAGTGGCTCGTCAGTGTGGGTAGAGGATGTGTCGGTCAATCGTCAGAAGGGGGATAATGCAGAAAATGCTCTTCTGATTCGACGATAACAACAACTAACGAGTTGGTTGTTATCCTAGGATGCCCATCTTCTGGCAATGCAGTGGAGGGCACCGACTCCGACCAGGCTACCAATGACCTATTAAAGTGTGCAGATTACGAATGGGTAGACCACCGCATTTGCAACTACTATTCCAAATACTAATGATCGAGCCTACTAAAATCGTATATTGAATACCAAGATCTGTTATCGAATGGCGTCCCGAATACTATGGTTACATTTTGTTGCTACGGTGCCACGGACAATGTTTGTCATGGTGCGGGAAGGCACTGCGGAATACTTCTACATGTATTCTTGCTTGTGTTTCGGATATACATGTTTGTCTTCCATTTGACGAGTTCACAATGGGTGTTCTCTGTGTCTTAAATGTTGTGTCGAACCAGTTGCATCCGAATAGTTGGGTTGTCCTACAAGCAATCTGCATCCTATGTGAAGCTTTGCATTTGCAACCAACACCTCAAGTTTTTCTCTCCCACTTCAGCACCCACCCATCTTCTTCAATGAGTTTCACCCATCTTTTGTTGAATATGCATTTTTTGCAGATATTATAACAGACGAGATGCCTGCCAAAAGATTTTTTCCGTAAATATCGACAACGAACCAATAGTACTTCTGACAAAGGTAAGGAGGTTACCGTTATCATCCTGCCTCCTCTGCTGCCATCTGACCTACTCCTTCCCTCAGACACGCAGAAGAAACATAAGAAAAGGGACAAAGATCTTCGCGGTCACCGCAGTGATTTCACTCGTCTCTCGTTGAAGAGAATGCGGACACACATCTCCAACCTAGGCTCTACCGTATATGCCTCGAATCGCTTCTTGGGTGTTATTCACCAAACTTTCTTAAAAGTGACTATGAATATGTCAGCCGCTGAAAAGGATCTTTATACGACAGTTGACCATTCAGAGATGTTGATACCACGTCTTTGCCTCTTAAAGTACTTTACTAATATAGTAGACGAGGTTTTTTTCTTTTTCATGCCTTGGACGAGGACCACACTTATAGCTTCTTTGAACACAGCTAAATATAGCAACAATGATAATCCGGTCATGGTCTCTGTAAATTAAAGGGGATGTAAGGTATTATTTCAGATATTTGAAAGCTACTTCGTCACATGCAAACTTCTTGGCTTTCTTTATCACTTTTAGTATGGAATGTACCTTTTCGACCAATTTTAGGAAGAAGCGCACCAATGTCATGGTATGTTCGACTAGTCTTTGGGGCTTCTCATATCGATAATAGCCTAACATTTGTTAAGATTTGCTTCTATCCCCTTACATGTGAGCATGAATCTTAGAAACTTTCCACCCTCTGTCTTGAACACACACTTTTCCAGATTTAATCACATGTTGAATTTTCTCAATACTCGAAATACCTCCCTCAAATCTATGACATGCCCTCACCGTTATCAAACTTGACCACCATATCATCCACATAGACCTCCATATTGCGACCAATTTGTTTTTGGAACATTTTATCCATTAAGCGTTGGTACATGACCCCGACATTCTTTAATATGAAAGGCATTATTTCATAGTATAAGTTTGTAGAT